ACTGAATGGCTAGGGAAGAGACGTTGGGAGCCCGGTCAAACCAAGTTTGTCAACGCATGAAGACGGCACGAAGACGCATGGCGCGGAACGGCATGGGCCGCCCCCGCTTTTTTCCTTCTCCGACGTCATAGGTGTCATAGGCGGCGCAGAAAACGACAGATTCGGGCGGGTCTCAGGGGCTTCCAAGGTGTGAAAGCAAGGTTGGTCTAGGGCATCGTTGAAATGATGATCAACAACTGCACGAGCTATAGGCTGGTAAAGGCTGTTTGATCAGGAAGCAGCGACCAGGATACATAGAAAACACTATAGAAAACTAAACAAGCATGACGAGCGAGCTCCAAAACCAAGAAATGACCCTTTACAACACCCCCTCTCTGTTGAGACCAGCTGAAACTCCTAGCCCAACAAGCTAAATTTTCGGCCGCCTCCTTTGGCTCAGGCGTGGGGATGCCAATGGCGCATGATCACGAGGATTGCTGCCAGCACCGGTGCCCAAATGGAGGAAGTGTTGGCCAGGTCGAAGACAATGCAGGCGAGGTGTTGAAACATGCGGCACATGAGCCCTCCCACTCCTCAGGCGGAGACACTCGCTGAAAATAATCATGGTTACATGGAGTGAAAGCCACCGGTCATGTGGTCGAAGGATTTCATGGTCATCCATTTGTGGGAAATGCCATCCACGCAACTCTGCAACCTTGAGGGAGTGTGGGTGCGTTTGGCCCGGGTCAAGCAAGAGGTTGGAAGTGGTGCTGGAGCAGTCGAGGGTCCCTCAAAGGTGGTTTGCAGGATGTAAGGTAATTATAGTGGATTGAGAGTAGAGATGGCGCAATCCAGAAAAGCGCGTTTATATGGAGCCCCGTCTAAAAGGCATCTTGAGGTGTATGCCATCACCATCTACTCTGAAACCACCGTAATCCAACTGGTCAGTCCATGAAAACCTGAACCTCTCAGGTGACAATGTCGAACAGCGAATGGCCAAATTGGGAGAAGTCTCAACTGAAACCTTTGGTGTTCCTCGAAAATGAAGGGTCATCATCTCGAAATAAAATCGCAAGCCCTCAAGGAAGTTCTGGCAAAGTGACGACGCATCGACTATAAGTTATAATGGATCCTGGGCGGCAATTGCCGCAGGTACCAAACAACTCTAACTCTAACAACTTGTCGTCGACCTGTTTGCTATGTTTGAATTGGGTTCATGCTCATGTTCTATCCGCGTCCCAAAGTTCCTGAGTTTTCACTGCCTAACTATACGGTATGTCATGGGACGGTTCGGCGAGGCGACCTCACAGCCTCCGGCTTCACAGCCCCAAGGAGGGCCACGTATACCACTCCCAAAGCATCCTAGGCAGCCACTACTGCAGCCACTAGATAAGGAACCAGAAGTTCAGCCGGTCTACGGTCTTTTAGTCCATGGAACCACTGGTTCCCAGCGACATGGTGCTTTGCCTGGATCCGGAACGTGGAAAGGAAGGTCACCCAACACATTCCCCCGGAACGAACGAAAACACCATCGTGACCGTCGATGGGCCACCCGGACTGATTCTACAAACAAAAACAGCGCCAGGGGGGCCATCAAAACCTCTACACGCCGGAATGAATCAAACAGCGCCATCGATTCTTCCAGCCAAAAAAAGAAAAACACATCTCGGCGACGTCACATGGCATAGGTTTCTCGAAAGAAAGGCCGTAACATGGCGGTCACTACACCAGGCATCCGGCAGCGTTGGTGGTCTGCGCGTTGTCATTAACGATCTCATCAGCCGCCAGCCTTAGTGCGTGCGGAGAAGGCTTCCATGTGCCTTCACAACAAAAACTGGACCATACTACCCATTGAAAACTAGGATGGACAAATTCTAGAAGTGGCTATAGCTGTTAATATTAATATCTGAGCCGATCTTTTTCAGAACGGGTGCTCCTGGGAGATATCACCCACCCTCATTTTTTTCGGGGTCAAATCCTCTTTTCTGGAGTGCTTTGAAGGGTTTGTGGCTCCTGATCCGTGGTCCTACTGCCCAGCGTGTCAGCTGGCATCCCACACCAAACAGGATGGCATCCACCATCCCAACAGGTGGTACTTGGTTGGTGGTACTTATACCTTGGGTTGGTGGTTGTTGGTGCCAAGTACCACCAACCCGGTTGGTAAGTTGGTGGAAACCCATCCCGTCGAACGCCCACGGTATGCGCATGAGTAGCAAACACCCTGCATCGGACGGCCATATGTATTGTGCGGCGGTCAAGAGCGAGCTGGCGAGCTCGAGGTCAAGGTTGGAAAAGACAGGGTCGAAGACCATGGTCGACCGACCATGGTTGAAACACCAGTGAAAGCACGACATGGTGGAAACACCAGTGAAAAGCACTATGGTCGACTAACATGTTCTTCTACTTGGGGTTCGTCTTCTCAGTTTCCAAGGTTTCAGGGGTTGCTTCGGATCTTCACCAGTTCTGCACTCGTCACTTCCGTCCGACCTCCCAAGCGGTGACGACCGACTCAGCGCCGGGGCGCTGGGCGAAGTGGACGACGCCCTTCCAAACAGCACCCACGGTGACCACAAAAATCACCGCCTTAGGGCGAGGCGCCGCAGGTTTCCGCGGTGTACCAGATCGACGTAGCGGTGGGGTGTGTGTGTGTGTAACACTTTGAGAGCTGGGATGTGGTTGAGTGTTGGTTTTATATGGTTTTATCCTTTTTGACATGTGATTGAATTTTGATTTGTTGTTTGAAATGTGTTTGAGTCGTGTTTTCGTCTTTGAATGGCAAGCCGGCGAGTCAAGCATTGTGATCAGTTCGAAATAAATCAAACTCTGTGATTGCTGTGATCAGAACTGTTCCATTCATGATCAATACTATGTCTGTTATGCTGCTTTGATATTGATCTTTGATGTTGTTTTGACCGCAGGAAAGAACCGCAAAGGCCTCCTGAACCACCCGGACCCAGCTAGTCTTGCCCAGGAAAGAACCAGCAAAGGCCTCCTGAACCCAGCTCATGACCCCTGGAGAACCGCACCTTCACCCCTTCCCGGCCGGAGCCCAGATCTTCCGAGCGTCAGCGGGCAAAAGGCCATTGGCATGCTTCAGGACACGATGCACGGGCATAGTTTCGCGAGTTCGCGGAGGTTCGCGGAAACGACGTAGATCAAAGCCTGGTTGGTCCATGTTGGCATCAATAGATGAATTTGAATATGTATGGAAACGATGTCCAGCAGGAGCAATGAAAAGCCACGTGACTGTCTATCTCTATATGTATATCTAGACAGTCCACAAGCAAACTATGATACCTAACAAACATGGGCCCTGAACATGACGGGTTTGTAGAGGAAAACAGTCAGACTCAGGGTAACACGGTAACAGTTCTCAGGGTCCATGTGTGTTTTCGACGGTGCATATGAGGTAAAGAATCAGTCAAAGCCCTGGATCTTCAGTACCAAGCTGCGCTACGATGAGAGCAGCTCGGCGATGGCGGACGGCCCGGACAGCTGCGGAACCACAAACGGCTGCATGACAAAATGAAGTAATGAAGTGCTTTTGGGTGACAAGGAGAACTTAGAATATGTTGGATGTTTGTGGAGTTGCATTTACAGTAAATTTGTTGATGAAAAGTAACCACCATCTGGGTACGAGGATGCATGTCCCAAATAGATACTGGGGTGGTAGGGGTCTGTGGGGCTGCATTTCTTCCATCAGAAGGAGGCGGTGACAAGCCAGCTGCCTTTGGTAAGTCGAGAGCACAATGTAAAAACCCGTTCTAACGGTCTACAAGTTTGCTCTAAATGCACTTGTGAACAGCGTCTTCTTAAGTGACCCTCCCAGGTCTCCCTGGCAGCTGGTCCAACAGAGATCTTCACTATGTTTGATTAGTGATTTGTGATGTCTAATCTTGTTTCTGCTTTGGTTTCTTCACATCCTAAAACTGTCTAAGAGTCTAAAACGGCTTGAACGATGCTTTACCCGACACGAAGTGGTCACCGCCAGAAGACTTGCACCCACAACGAAGTAAGGAACCACACATTTTTGCAGCGGACCAAGGTGAACCCAACAGCATCGGTTGGCGATGTTTCCCGGATCTTCCTTGGAAGGCCGTGACATGGGGGGGCGAGCATCGGAGACGGGTGGCCGCGGTTTCAACCGCTGACACCGGTGGTATGACGCATGGACCAAAAGCACTGGGATGGACTGATGGAACGATGGAACTCGAAGAATAGCATCATGATTCATGATCGATCCTGATGCCTGCACCATGTTCTGGAAGCGTATGTCAGCTAGTTGATGTCCATTTCCCTGACAAAGATTTCATGTCCCCTTTTGGTCGATGCTGGTTGATTAGGCATATAGAGGTTGCATGACACGGGTATTCCCTACAGGTCAAATCTATGATTTCACTAAAGTTGATCATTAAAAAAAACACGTCTTACTATCATCTCTTATAGAGTTCTTTGTTCAGAACCAGGATTTTCTGGGTTAAACTGGACGGGGATTGCAAGCCTTGCGCCAGCATGTGCCCGCGGAGTGGCCCCCACTCCAATCCCACTGACTGCGGCCAAAGTATATGACTACCCTGGACTCCTGCACTCAAGTGCCAAAAAAGTGGTACATACCTGGACACCTCACCCTCCTACGAACTGCCTCACCCTCCCACGAACTGAGACTCCAAGTGCCAATCCTCCAGCCCGGCCAAGGCTCTCTCGGCCAAGGCTTCTTAGGGGCGAACGGCCTCGCCGGCGAACGGTGGCGATCGGTGTTCCCCCGGTTTAAACATGGGGCCCGGGTTGGGAGAAACATAGGCAGCCGGGTTGTGGATGCCTTGATCTTGGAAAGAACTGAACCATTGAATGGAGATTGGATACTGATAAGGATCACATCTGGCCGTACAAGTCCATGACCCAAATCCAAGACCAAATCCACTCACCTTTTGTCTACTGCTCAAAACCCGTCCAAAAAACGAACAACGAAACTGTCACGGTGCGCCTGAAAGTCTGCCGCTCAGGCCAGGGCGGAATGGTGCCTATGGATGGTAGTGGACAGCCACCAAGAAGGCCGCAATCAAAGGAAGCCATGCACTGGCCACATCTGCGAAAATGAACAGAAGGTAGGCAAGGTGTTGAACCACTCCTGAGATTGCCATGAGAAAACTCATTCAGCAACATGAACACCAAACAGCTTGGCAACATTCCTGGGTCGGAATGACCTCCAGGTTTCTGACGGCCACATCGAATAACTAGAACACGAAGCACAACCTGCATCTTCGTATCAAGCCATTGTGAAGCCTTTTTGTCCCCCCCCAAACCCGTGGGTCTGATGCAACCATGCTCAGTATGCATGCGCAGTATGCAAATCCACTCAAGCACCGACTGCATGGACGACTAGTACCGACTCCATGGACCAAACTCCATGAGCTGTGCTGGACAACAACCAGACCTTCCATGTAGACATGATATGAACTTCTGGACCATGCACCACAGGTGTGTACCAAACCCACACAGGTCTAGTACCAAAGCTGTTGTACAACTAGACCTAATTGTGATTAATGCTGACACAGGATTTAGTATAACCACCCCCTATTAATCAATCCCAGCTCGACCCCCCCAATACTAAACTAAAACCTAGATTTCCACCTTGGCATCACCCTAATATTTTTTTCCTAGGCAGAAACCTCCCTCTATTAATCAATCCCAGCTGCCCCAGAAAAAAAAAAAAAAACAAATATAGTTTACTATAAATAATTGTATGTATATTCTTTATTGTTGTCTTTTTTGCTAAAGTATTCAATATCTTCATCTCCTCATCTTCCTGATTCTCACCACCACCTCTCAACTGCCTCATCCTGCTCACCAATCCTTTTGATGGCTTCTCATGGCACAGAATCCCGTCAACCATCATCCATCATCAGGTCCAGGTCCTCATCTCATCATTCATCATCAGGTCATCATCAGGTCATCATCTTTTTTAAGGGGATGTGGTCTTCAAAACCCTACGACCTTGTTGACCTTGTTGACCTTCAAGGGGAGGGGGGGGCATTGATTAATCAGTGTCGAGATTAATGGTGCACACCCTGAGAAGCTTTCAGGAAGAGTGAGCGAATAGAAATATGGACACACCAGAACATGTTTTACAGGTGGACAAGCCATCCAGGCTGATTTCGGGCACCGTTTGCCTTCTGTGCTCAGGGCTCCCAAGAATTCAAGTCCTACTGCCAATATCCACTCAAATCATCCTCCAAAAACATTTAATATCTAACATCCGTACCTCAGCTTAGCCAGTTCAACAACTCCAAAGCAAAGCACTCCAACATATTCAATTCCAACCTCCTCCACAGTTCATAACACCACAACTCAAGCTGACGATATTACACTTAGATAACGTATAGGTCCCTTCCCGGTTCTGATTTCAAGGTCTCTACTTCTAGCTCCATGTCTAGGTCTCTATAGCTTCTTGCCAAAAGCGTGGTCCAACCCATCCAAAGGCCCAACCCACCTACCCACCCGGTCCACTGGCCCTCCGCTGGTCCAGGGCACGGGAGATCAAACCCCCGACGGTGGGCACGGTGGTCGTGGGACCGTTCTGGGCGATGATCTCTTCGGCGGCTTGCGTTGAAAAATAGACAATCCAAGAGTATACCTGCAGCCGCGCGTCGGTTTTTGAGGCGTTTGTAAAGACGAGGTCCTCGGTCCTCGATATAACATTGTTTTGTTGGTTCTTTTGGGGGGTGTAATGCAAATGGATACATAGTATAGCTCCTGACGCTATAACTCAACAAATGTGGAAAGGTTTTGGAAGAGTGAACACCTGCCCTGCGATCATACCGACATACAAAAAGGAATCAAACTGGTCTGATCCTGAGCCCTTGCTGCATACATTCCACCCACAACAAAGACGACGGCCGCCGAAGCAAGCGCCAGCAAGTTCGCGTGTGGAACGCCAGGCATGGCTTTTCCCCGGCCTGTACAGTGGAAAAATGCCAAACGGCTGCAGCTCGGATCAAACATCAGAGGCAAGTGAAGACCAAGTATTGCATTATTACGTAGGCTTCTAGGATGCGCACACACACAACCAAAAAAAGAAAACAACAACATGTTCCTTGCAGGTGCTGCATGAACTGTTCTCATGTTCCTGCTGATCTCATTTGAGTACACTCACTGCCAGCCTCAGCTGACTTACACCGGCTGTTAAGATTCTGCACCATATTCCTCCCAGCTGGGCCGCAGCACCATGTGCCACGTCTTTTTCTATCGAAGCGGCGCGTCGGTCGCGCCGTCGGTCGCGCGTCGGAAAAGATCATCCTTAAGCAATTAAGCAGATGTACTGATGTACATGAGTGTTTTACGTGGGGATCCGACAGCCATGAAACTCATGAGAGTCAAAGGTCAAACAGCCATTGGTCACCCACAGATGTCAGGGTGGCATTGGCAGCCTGGCAGCCTGGCAAATATCCTCTCTCCGCGTGTCAAACCACTGCGCAAGCGCCGAAACGGCGTTCACGCTGGTAGATGCACCTCGTTGAGTGCCATGGCAACGCGGAGTTGTTGTCAGGGAAGGAGGACGTAGAGGATAGGTCTGCCTTCTTAAAATAGTGGAGTATAGTAGAGTGGTGTATATCGCTATGTAAGTACACACATATTACCACCCTCTCTCTCTCCCTCCCTCCCTCTCTCTCTCTCTCTCGCTCTCCCTCTTTCGCTCTCCCTCTCTCTCTCTCTGTCTCTCTCTCTCTCTCTCTCTCTCCCCTCGGATATTGCTGAAGGATATTCCAAAAGTTCACTAAGTACTTTTGTCTCAAAAAAAAGTTTTGTACCTATAAACATACAATACACGATCTAAAATGCGACATACACACATATTATTGTATATGTATGTATGTATATATATATATATACACCGGTGAAAAAAATCACGGAACGGAAAACTAGTTTCGGCATATTTAAACATGGAACTCGTTTCACCGCAACTCCTGGGGAATTGGCATTGCAACTTGTTTCGGTGGACAGGCAGGTTTGAGGCACCCTGCAAAGTTAACATAGAATATGTTTTATGCCCGTGCTACTCCCTCAGATGGCCTTGGGGACATCCTTGTTTGAGGCTCGCAAATCTAACATGAAACGGGGCGGGGCACCCAGAATTCTAGGGTCAAATGGTCCACGTTAAATTTGGCCCTGACTGATACCAGGGCCACACAAGGTTATCAACCGGAGGTTTGACTGCTTGCATCGGAAAATCTCCATCGCCCAAGCTTGACCAATGCTGAAAAGCTAAAAAGCGCAGCTCAATTCTTTTTCATACCCCCTGGCCCCCTCTGCTGTTTGTCATCGTTTGTCCGTGCATGCGCAGATTGCCATAAACAGCATTCCATCCCTAAAAAGCCTCATACTTACAGAACCACAGGAAATCATGTAAACATGGAACCAAAAAGAAATCACCTTACACTAACACAAATGTTCTACAGTAGGTCACACCAAACGAAATGCCGTCATAGCACTGTACGAGCGCAATATGAAATATGGCACCGCGACACATCATTCCCCAGTGATCCACAGGAGCTTCAATACTAAACTGCACTGAAACCATGCTAACATGGCCTAAACTCAAAAGGGAATGCTGTTGCTATAACTGCGGATGTTCTGCAAGTGCTCTTCAGCATCGACCTTGTCATCTGGATTGGTTTCAACATACCAATCCCACAGCTGATCAAGCGCCAACAGAAGAGCCTTTAATTCACTCCTAATCAAGCCCCATGTAGGGGCATAGTTACTCCCTGAGGGATCCCGTGCATGCCATTGCCGAGTGACCTTGTGGTATGAAAGTACATACCCGTCGGCCATTGGCAATGCTGTGAGGCCTACCTTCTCCAGGTCAGCGTACGCTTCGCGTTCAAAGAACCCTGGTGGTGTATGCGAATGGCTACTCCCACCTGGCTGCTTGTGGCCATGCATTTGAATCATGTTTGATTCATCAATAAATTCACCATCAGCAGGTCCCTCAACAAGCGGATCTATCGGAGCTTCAGCTATCACACTTGGCTGCATCATGTTTGAGGACGAAGGTGCCCACACCTTGCTTTGAGTATCTTCTCCAGCCTTCGTAGTTGGGGCAGGATCCATCTGAAGATTCTCCATGTGCGTCTTCACTTGTCCTCAGAGTCAGAGGGCCAACAAATTACTGTACAGTAACCTAGAAGCAGCACAGGATCCAGGTGGCCATGAGCATCTGGCGACATCAAAATCCGTATGCTTAACATAGAACAAAATGGCATTGAACAAAATGACGCTGCACAACCCCGTCCTTCTAACCCAGCCTCATCACCCAGAACACTTTCATCTTCCGAAGCCTCCTCACCCTCCATGTCTATGGAGCCCGCATCATCCACGCATTCGACATCCTCGCCCGCCTTAAGGCTTTTGGGCATTGAATGTACACTTGAAATGTTGTGAGTTCCCAAGATATAACATGTTTGCGTTCCATGTTAGTGGCAGCAAAAAAAGACATCGCAAGTAGGGTAGTTTATTGCTGCAGTGCCTGCTGTGTTGTGTTCCATGTTAGCAGTTGTTTCATCATCCCAAGGATACAGTATACAGTACTAGTACTACCTGCCCAAAAAAGAATGGCTGTCCAATTCATGAGAACAGGCCTTTTGCCAGGATTTGAAGGAAAGTTGTCAAAATGAGCACGTTTTAATAAGGGATTTAAACAAAATTTGCCGGCTGACAAAATACAGATCCATATGGGGTCCCCGTACAGCATTTAGAAACACGACAGGATTTACAGTACAGTAGCATTGTTTTTCCATCCGAGCATCATAGGCATCGCCAATGGGAGCGGCGTCTAGCACATGAGCATACCCTTCAGCAAGAGAGTGCAGCTTGGCCTTCTCCAGACCATTCTCAAGGGAAAGGCATCGCACCCGTCTGAATGATTTCCCTTCAGAGGGCTGCAGCTTCAGCTCCACGTTCCCGCCCACGATGGTGATGCGAACCGCAAGGATCCACGCCTTAGACTTAGGCGTGTTCGAATTCACCTTTGGCTGAGGCTTTCCATCAACAATGACCATATGCTTTGTCATCCACTCGCTGGTGGCCACCCACCCAGTGCGGCGATTGAGCACTGAGAACCGGTCAGCAGAGTGCAAACCCATGAGCTGCTCCTTGGCCTTTTTCGTTTTGGCCAGTTTCTCTTTTGGGTCTGCCTCTTTGCAGCTCTCGTACTCTTGCTGCGCATCCAGGAACGCCGTGCCATGCAATGCCACTGTTCGAACCACTGCATGGGCCAGCTCATAAGGCAAAGGATGGTACACACCTGAGGCTGTAGAGTCCTGCAAATGGGGGTAAAGTTGGAGGTGGAGGTCCTACTTCAACATTTTCTACAGTCACACTTCAACCATGGAGCACTTTGCACTTTGAATGCCATGTTAGAGTTACCCCCGCCTCCCCCCCTCAAAAAATGGTCCTCTATCTGCCACTCGTATCTTGTGCACATTTGTGGGGTGGGATCAATGGAGCAGGTGTCAAACAAACCACACGGATCTATGATCGTCTTGGCGTGCTCCATGTGCTCCACCTGCTCTGCACTAGTATCCTGCGGAAAGTGGTCGGCCGAGAAGTACCCTGTGATCATCCAAGCAGCAATGAACACCCTCCGATCCAGCTCGCGCCAGGCGTCATAGGATATTTTAATGATATCTATGACGGGCTTCACGGAAGCTGCAACCTGCCCTGAAGCCTTCAAATCCAAGGTTTCATAGCCTTGGACATCCACTCGCAGCAAACAAAGCTTACCAGTCTGAGAATTACAGTGTATATATCTATATATAACATGAACCCCATGATGATTGAGGCCCTGGAGGTTGGTTGTGTGCCATGTTAGGCTAGGCTTTGTGCCCAGGAACGCGCGCGCTCCCTCAGGTTCGCACAATGTCCGGTGCTCGCCAAATCCTTCTTCCTTATGCCCTGTCTGTAGGCGGCGTGCATGCTGTCCACCGGTTGTCCATGAGTGGACCATCCTCCCGGTTGTACAACCGGGGGCTCAATGTTGTGGCGTTCATACCAAGTGTGCCTGCTCTGCTAAACGCCGCTAAAAAAAACACAGGTATGCTACCTGTATAATACAGCCTACAGCGTATGATTTATAGTAAGCATGACACTTTGGGTGTTGACTGCCTCCGGAGATTCATTCCGGCAGCTTGGCTGAACGTCCCAGTCCAAGCATCTGCCAAAAGAGCTCCACGATCATGAGCTGAAAGGTTGTACCTTGGCTTTTGTCTTACAGTACAGCACCTGGGGACAGGCCTGCAGGTGAAACCAACATAGAACACAAACACACATATATGAAAAAAGGGCGGTGATCATCTACAGTAGTAGGTACCTTTTTCTTTGAGCTTCAAAAGCCGGTGAATACAGCTGCTCCAATACAACGATCAATGACTCGGCATTCATAAAGTGTGTGGGCGTCTGTGAGCTAATGATGAGGGAAGACCCGACGTGCTCTGCATTCCATTTCTGTATATCGGCCGGCCGGAGTTTGCCCTCAGCCACACAAAATGCTACAGGGCCGGGCCGGCCGTCACTCCAAGAGCTCGTCAAAACCTCGGCATGAGAGAAGTCTTGAACATACAGGTGTACTATGCATCTTGAAAATCCTCCAGCTTTCTACCATACTGTACCTTTATTTGCTGCAGTGCCTGCTGTGTTGTGTTCCATGTTAGCAGGTGCTTCATAATCCCAAGGATATACAGTACCTGCCCAGAAAAGAATGGCTTTCCAATTCATGAGAACAGGCCTTTTGCCGCGATTTGAAGGAAAGTTGTCAAAATGAGCGCGTTTTAATAAGGGATTTAAACAAAATTTGCCGGCTGACAAAATACTGATAGACACTGCTTTTAGGCAATGCTTAAGACATAGGGTCCCCCTATTATTGCTTTACAGTAGCATTTTCTCTTTACTAGGAGGTGGAAGGGATCATTTTGGCTGGGAGACTGTCATCGATTGTCGCGATCCACGAATGTGGTGAAGTTTTTTGTCTTCTCGTGGGCCAATCTGGGCTTTGTTACCTAGCAGGGTTGCCTGACTCGCAAACGGCACACAGGGCATACTGCTTAGAAGCATCAACCCAACAACAACCTTCAAAACAACTTGCAGAGGCTCGACTTTAACATACAGTAGAACTTCTCGCCTTTGCGGCCGATGTTGACACGGTCTTTGAAAGCCAGCTTGAACTTGGCCATGTTCCAATTGTTCCGCCAGACTTGGTCAAAGTTCAGCAGCAAGAACTTGTGCACCCCTTTCTTGTGGATAAGATCTAGTGTTCTTTGCCGCGACATTTGCATGTCCACATGGTTGTAGGGCAGGTAGGAGGCGTCATCTGACCCTCTCGTGAGCATGGACCAGCCCCAACTGGCCTTCCATTGCCGAATCCAAGCCATGGAGGGGACAGCTATCTCTCTAGGCAAAGGGTGATATGCCTCCACAACCGCTTCTGCATGCATCTCTCCGTTCTTGTATTTGGTTTCCAAGTCCTCATTGAAGGATTGCACCATGGCCGCGCGATCTGGTAGTGAAGAGTTCCAGTCGGAGATGAGAGACGCAGCTGTTTCTGCCTTTGTTGTCGGGTTGGGTTTCTGGCACAAATCCATGGTTTGGAATTGGTTTAACCTAGAACAAAACAGGGGGATCACAAAAGCTGGGAATCTGCGTAGGCTCTTGTGTTCCACGTTACAGTAAGAATCTAAAATGTTGCCGGGATGCAATGTGTTCAACTGTTACGAGCTCCTTTCTCTCAGAGACACTGGAAAGCCCACTGCTGAATTCCATCATCAAGGTATCCAGTTCCCGCTGAATTTGCAGCGGGACACAGCCTCCTTCAGGCCTGCCTTTCAAAGGCAAACCTAATTTGCGTCGCCAGCTGTTGGTCGTGGCAGAACTGCGGGCCCGAAAAAACTCTGGTAGCTCTCTCCACGCTTCACTTTCTGCTGCCTTTTTCCATTTCGAAGGCTGCGCCTTCCCAACAATATCTGGAAATTCCTCCCGCAGCTTCTTCAAGGAATCGAATCGCATTCTTCTCTTTGCTTGCTTCCTTTTCTTGCTCCACGCTAGAACCGCTTCACGTCCTGCTCCACGTGGTCGAGGCTCTAGGGCATCTTCAGCAGCACTCTTTTTGGTAGCAAGCATTTCCTCATATCGATCCAATACCTTGAGCTTCTGCTCAATGGAAACAACTCTGCGAGGTACTCTCAGCTGCTCCGTGAAAACACCGTTGTCTATGGTCTTGTATTGCCTCTTTCGGTTCTTTCTTTGGTTCCCGTGCTTCTTCAACGCGTGCCCTCGGAATGCATGATATTGTTGCCGCCTCCTTTTCCTGAGACAATTCAGAGTCCGCGCGCGCACCAAGTTCAGGGATTGACTGGAGCTAACATGGAACAGAGTTGTTTTTGTTTTTCCTCTCCCCTGGATGCGCGCACCAAAGTTCAGAGCCGCCACACATACACAGAAACAAATGAAGCCTAACATGGAACAAAGTAGGCATTCCTGGTGGTGGGTGGATCCAACCAAAGTCTGACTCAACAGTATGAAGTCTCTTGTTCTTCTCCAGGGTCTCCTCCGTATTTCCATGGAAGACTTTCTCCACCTTTCGCTTCAGACGATTCACTGTCTTTTGATGTGACTGGCACTTTGCATTGAAAACTTTCAACGCACGCGCTGCACTATGCTCCACCTTGTTCTTTTCCTTGGTCAAGCAGCTGATGTGCTTGGATAGCTCCACAATCATGTCCAGGTATGGCAACTGGCTGTCACTGAAAAGTAGAGGCGCATCTGTCAGGTCTTGCTGCAGCAAGTCGTTGAAGTGGCAGCTCCACGATGCGCTTGGATCTTTTTCTTGGCGATCTGCTGAGGTCAGCTTGCCAAGAACTGCAGTGTATGCTTCCAAGTCTTGGGTGAGTTTCTTTGCCTTGAGATCAAGGGATATGTGAGTCTCCTTGACATCCTCCAAGCTTCGATCGGAACGTTGCCGCTTGACAGTGACACGCTCTTGGACCTCTTCCAAGTGTCTCCTGCAGGGCACACCGAAGCAGCCTGAAACAAACATGGAACCCATCTCAAAAAAGAAATTACTGCATACTGTAATCAATGGGTTTCACACTACAGTAGGGCAAAGGCCAATGGATGCCCAGGCACCAAACAAAAACACCAAAAACACATGTTCGGGTCCATGTTAGTAAGCGCCAATGATAGTTTGCCCAACTGTGAATGAAGTACCTCTGATCTCAATCCTGTCCTTTTTTTTCATTAACTCCTCTTGGGCTGACACCATAGCAGACTCACAAATATCCTCTTTTGAAAGGATCTTGCGCACGTCTGAGACATGTAGGAGACCGCCTTTGAGGATCCCCAGCTTCCCTGTAGCAAAGATGGCCACTGTAGGCTCCCCCAAAATCTCTCCATCAAGATTGACTCTGGAAGTGCTCACGTTGCTGAAATCACGGTCACTCTTTCCAAGCGGCTCATCAAACGGAAGTTTGACCACAAAGAGCATCTTTGTTTTTGGCAGGAGCTGAATAGGTATGCTGTTCACAACCTGACTCTGGTTCTAGGTTACACTAGATGCTCCTTCAAAGGACCACCAATAATAAGGGCTACAGTAGCGGCTAATCCCAAGTACTGCACATATTCAAAAAGGCTCCCCAAATATACAGTATCTGAATCTCGTTGGCTCCCTGCACAGAAGTCCTGTTGGACATTCAACATAGAAAACTACAGTACCTACAACTGCCTGCCTTTTGGAGCAATGAATTATTTGCCAGCCAAGAGGCGTCTTCTTGAAGACTGAGGGCGAAATTGGAGGGGATCATGATCACACTTGCTTCAGTGCCTTTCAAGTGCTTGGCCATGTGTACCCAGAATTCCTCGCCATGCCTTGCCATATTGGCCATGATCATTTTTTCTACTCCTTGGCGTTCTTTCCGGTACATGGTCACTGGGCAGCACCCCAGAACTCCAAGATAGTGCGCCGAATCAACGCCAGCAGCTGACATAGCTTCCTTCATTTTCTTCAAGGCGATTCCAGGGAGCACGAGATCAGCCGACAAGAAGAGATCTTTGGAGTTTGTCTCTTCTGCACTTTTGGCATCCAGCTTTGGGCATACAAGTCCATTGAGCAAAGCGGAAACTTGATCTTTGCTAGAACTTGAGCTTGCTGGTTCCGGCGGTTGTTCAGCTGCACCAACCACGCTTGAAGGCTGTGCTGTGGCTGGCCCGAGTGCTACTACTGCGGTTGCTGATGTCTTTGATGCTGCGCTGCTATGTTCTATGTTAGAGCCTGCAATGAGCTTCTTGTCATCGTCCTCTGTGTGTGGTGGTGGTTCAGCTGCAATGCCGATATCTGCAGGCGCTGTTTTGTGTGTTTTGTCCTCTTTCTTGCTCTTTTCTCCCTGGCTGTCGTTGTATTTCTTCTCTTTGCCTTCTTTGTGTTTTTTTTTCTTTGCCCTCTTTCTGCTTCTGGTCTGTCTTCTCTGCCTTTTTCTCTTCTTTCTCTTTGTGCTTCTTGTCTTTCTTCTTTGCCTCTTTTTTTTCTTGCTTTTTGTCTTTCTTCTTCATCTGTTCTATGTTAGAGTCTGCAATGATATTCTTGTCATTGTCTGCGCTGCCGACGCCTGAAGAGTCTGCAGGGGCTGTAGCTGATGCTGCTGCTTTTGCTGTGGCTGTCTTCTCTGCCTTTTTCTCTTCGTCCTTCTTGTCTTTCTGGGTCTCTTTCTTTTCATTCTCTTTGTGCTGTTGGTCTTTCTCCTTTTTGCCATGTTTGTCTTGCTGTTCTGCTACATCTTTGTTGTTTGTCTCTGCCGCCTGTCCATGTTTTGCTTGCTCCGCTCCAGCTTGTAGCCCTGGTGTCACCGGGACTGCTTCAGCTGCAGGCAGTTGAAGTGGCATGGGCTGCCCGTTTTGTTGGCTTGTCGCTTCGGAGACCACTGCTGCAGGTTGCTCTGCTGTTGGGCTTGCTTGCTTGTGCTCTTCAAGAAAATGTTCAATTTCTGAGGCCAGCTTCTCTCGACCTCACTGAACAATGTGGTACCCACAAAACTGTTCAATCTTCAACACCCAGCGCCTTAACTTGGAACAAAGGCACCCCACAACGGAACATGCACAAGTTTAAGCAATGTTGCATTCAAGGTGCAATTCTTGGCAACCAAACTTGCCACAAGATCTGCCTTTCTTGTACCAGAAATCCTCAAACCCATAAACCTCGCGTCGCTACGCAGTTGCGGAACTTTCTTGGCCTCCCAGGTAAGTATCTCTGCGTCACGAAAATCCGCCATGAAGCAAGCCAGGTCAAACGAATACTTTCTGTCGGACACAAAATCCTCAGTCAGATTTGAAAGGCTCCAGTAGCTCACCGTGTGGGGTACATGGCAGGAGATCCTGTAAACTCCTACGACAACCCCTAACGTAGCATAGAACAAGGGCTTTGGGCTTTGGGTTTCTGTAAACACCACCAGGGGCTGAAGCCTAAATTGCTGTTCTCTGGACTGCAGCTCTTTCCTGCTACAGTACTTGCAGCACTGGGCCAGTTTAGTAGTGGATTTTACAGTGCACAAAGTTTTTATTCGTTGTCTTTTGGATGCTTTTGTTGACACCATCTCTCACTCGGTGACCCTCTTTGGAATACAGCACTTACTGTACTGTAAGATCCGTGGACAACCCATGACTTTAAGAGGCAAACAACAGCAGGTAACATAGGGACACCGCTTCTGAGAACACAATGCAAAGGTGAATCGGCAAAGGGTGGTTTAAGCACAAGTAACCAAGCTTTGGTCTAAACCTGCGGTCTCCACCTCCAAGTTCCCAAGCCGCTTTGACCAGAATTGCACCGGGGAAGAGTAACATGGACCTGAACATTGACCTTGGAAGGCAATTTTCATCTACCTAGTTGAACAACGATTTGGGCCCCCACCCATCGCCCACCCAACAGGAAAATGTAAAGGTGTCAGGTTAAACGTAATCCTCCAGAGCGTGCCAATATGGAAGTGGAATACCCTTTTGGGTTTTCTGTGAAAAGTTAAATGATACAGTATTAACAAAAACGATGTTCTGCCCGAACTTGCCCGGTGTGGAAAGCCCGTCTCCACCCAGCCTCCACCCCACCAAACCCCTGAACGGCCACAAACACGCAGCTCGCAACTACCTACCTACCTACCTACCGACCTACCTACCTACCTAGCTTTGCTCCGCGACTTCCTCGCTCCAAGCTGAAACGTCCTCTCCTCTCCTTCCTCTCCTCTCCTCTCCTTCCTCTCCTCTCCTCCTCTCCTCTCCTTCATCTCCTCTCCTTCATCTCCTCTCCTTCCTCTCCTCTCCTTCCTCTCCTCTACTAATTCAATCACTTCATCCTCTTCAGGATTGCGGCAAGGGTGCATGGTCACTTGTCACCAGATCGTTTGCGAGTCTCTCCGTCTCTCGCTTGTGGGATGTCTTTGGATTCGATCCCAATCAAGAACCTACCCAGTCCATCGTCCCCCCCAGCTCAATTTGTTCACATGTGTCCATCAATCAAACCTTCAAAACCAAAGGACAACAATTTTATATAAAATCCTTTACTAAACTGGCCCCCAAAAATCACTTTTTGGGCCTTGAAAAGGGTTCCCCCCATGAGTGGCCA